AACCCTACCTCATTCATTAAATATGCTACCATGAACGGGGCTATTTTTACTCCCTGTCATATTCAATAGGCCATCACTTAACATTCCACACTTAGCAAGACAGAGTTACTGCTTTTGTCATTACGTACCCTCTTGCCTACCAAGATTTAATAAAGGCTCAGCAACATGGGCAAGAAGTCTCATTCTCCTCATAATCACACACAGCACATGTGCAAAAACTAGTTCTCAAAATCTCTCTCCTATTTCCAGATGGCAGGGTTTTATATTTAGTTTATATTTCTCTTCTCCTGCCTCATTTAGCTAGCACAGTTTAAATTTAGTATCCAATCTGATCTACATCAACATCAAATTTCAGTGTTTTTCAATTTCTGTATTTCAACCATAAACCTGCTATAATTTTTGTATGCTACATTAGATCTTTATGCTGGTCTGGAAATTAAAAACCTAGCACCACTCTGAATCCAGCCAGTTTAATGGTGGTAGCTCTATTAACCACAAAACTTGAGGAAAGAAAGTCAGGGAAGACATTTAGAACTATGCCCGCAGTGCACATCATGCCTAATAATGTAATTGTGCCTCCTTTACATCTCTCCCCTAGCATTAAAGCATAGGTGTCTCTTGCTTGAGAGGTAGTAAACAAATGACTAGCTGAAACCAAGGCAAGCTGACAGAGGTGATTACTGAAGTTGAGGACTTGATGGACTTCTCCCACAGAAACAGTGCAGTTGTACTTCCTTAATGTTTATTCAGTATTTGAGAACAAATGATACATACTCTGTCTGAAATATAACCCTTAGCTAAGTCAGTCAAAATGCAAGACCTCAGTGTTGAGGGTAATGGCAAAGATGGGTTGTTGCTGAACCTGGGACACCTGCAGTTTACTCAACTAAGAATAGTGTATCTTCACTGGAAGGCATATAAGTAAGGAGGGGATCTGAAAGCTGTCACTAAGCAAAGACCTTCCTGGTTTTCCCACAAGGTAAAGGAAGAAGATTAAATGGTTTATTCAAACAATTAAAATCTGTTACTAAACCAGAAAGCTACATCATGAAGAATATGGGTACTTTCAGAGTCCCACCTTCCATCACTCAGACAACGAAGAGCTGGTAAGTGTACATAACCACTCAAACCCACCTATGGCTGCTCCTGAGGTCATTCATCTGTGGTACATAAACACCTAAAGCTTGAGTGGCTGCATCTGCCACAAGAGGTGTGAGTAAACAGGAGAACATGTGCTGCCATGAGAAGAGAGCGTCTGTAACACACCTGAAGTGGGGGTTACCTCTGTGTTGGGAGAGTGGGGGTCCTGGTGCAAGGGTGTGGCTAGATCTTTTTCAAAACAGGTATACAAAATGGCATAGAAATTGGCGACTGTTCATCTGTTGTGTATCCTGTTCTATTGCAATTCATTTTGTCATTTTATTCAGTCTTGGGCATGCTGAATAGGCACACACCATGGTTTTCCAAGTAGACAGCCAAAAAAATCTGCAGAAGACTGTTGGCAAGTTCTTCAGAAATGGATACATTTTTTAAAGGGCCCCATGCTAACAAGGGTAAGAATTTGTCAAAATTTTTGCTAAGCCATGGCTAAATTCAGAAGAATCTCTTCAAAGCTGGAGCTTACAGGCATGTGATGGAGTGCAAAATGAAGCTCCCTATCTGGATCTGCTGTGTTTTGTATCTCGGACTTCATAATAAACCAGCATGGGAAACAACATGCAGGGAAAAAAGCTTTGGTCAGCTTCTACCAGAAGTTTTGATAACTAATTATCACCCTTCATTCTCCAGATCTGAGCATGACAGGAGATGCACAAAGACCAAACAAGCAAGCTGGCTCACAACGAAGCAATGGAGAATTTTTCCTTTCTGAGCTTTGGATGCTGTGATTCAGCAGCATGTCTATGTGCAAGAGACTCCCTTGTCAGAGCTAATTTTTAAAATACCCTCAAGTTTGCTGAAATCTGTATCATGCTGGAAGTTATTACTTCCAAAGGAAACACATCTAGAAGAAATGTCAAAATTGCCAGCGGGGTGTGATGGGGCGTGGGTGGATGCCCTGAAAATGCAGGATATCCAACAGCACAATGTGCAGCCAATTAAAATGGAAATCACTTCTTCCAGTCTTCTAAAACCCAAAAACTCCTCAACTGCAAGAGTAGTTGAAAGTGCAAAAAATTAGTCATTAAGAAGAAAAAGAAAAATCTTAGAACATATTTCTATCTTCCTTCTAACACCAGTATAAAATGACTAAAAAAGATCCAAAATGTCCTATCAGATCTGTTACCTTTTACTGGTCTTGAATAAATACATTTCCATTGGTATAGAAAAAAACCTTTGGCATACCATAATCAAATGGTAAGAGGTATCATGCTCTTGATAGCCTCTGATAGCTTATTCCTGAAGCAGGTGAACATGTTTTCCAAAGTTCATGGATATTCTTCCAGAAAAGTTATTCCCCAATTTTTTGCAGCACTGAGATCAGAGAATACACAAAATTTAACCTGCCCAATTACACTTCCGCAGCAAATGTACTATTTCAAAACCTCCTTATTTTCTATTCCATTTTACCATATTGGCCAAAGATACATAGGCTACATGTTTCTAATGCACCTTCACCTCACAGGGAGGCTTTTAACACCATCTCCCATAACATCCTCCCAGGCAAACAGGTGCAGCCCAGGCTAGGAAAGCAGACAGTGAGGCAGACTGAAAACTGGCTCAGCTGCCGGGCTCACAGGGCTGCGATCAGCAGCACAAAGTCCACCTCGAGGCCAGGAACCAGCAATCCATCCCAGGGTTTGACACGGGGGCTGATACTGTTTAACATCTTCGTTAATGACCTGGATAACGGGGCAGAGTGGCCCCTCGGCAAGTCTGCACACAATACAGAACTGGGAGGAGCGGTTGAAACAGCAGGTGGGTGGGTCTGCTGCCACTCAAAAGCACCTCAGCAGGCTCGAGAAATGGGCTGACGAGAAACTCAAGAAATTTAACAAAGGGAGATGCCAAATCCTGGACCTGGGGAAGAATAAACCCACGCACCAGCCTGTTCTTGGGACTGACCATCTGAAAAACAGCTTAGCAGAGAAGGACATGGGGACTTGTTGGACACCATGCTGCCTATCAGCCAGCCATTTGTCTTTTGTGCAAAGACCAACAAGCATCTGGGACTGCATTAGGGACAGCATCAGTAGCCGGTCGAGGGAGATGCTCCACTCCCTGTACTAAGCATCACATCTGGGATATCACATCTGGGCTCCTGAGTCCAGTTCTGTGCTCCCCAGCACAAGAAAGACATGGATGTATACTGGAGAAAGTCCACTGAAGCACCACAAAAATGATATCGAGAATGAAGCATCTGTCATACAAACATCTAAAGAGCTGGGTCTGTTTACTCTCAAGAGGAGAAAGCTCTGCAGGAATCATAACAATGTGTATAAATACCTGATGAGGGGGAGTAAAGAAGACATTGCCAGACACTGACCTTCTCAGTCACTTAGTAGTGACTACTGAAAGGATGAAAAGCAATGCACACGAAATGAAGTACAAGACATTCTGTTTAAAGATCAGAAAGAGCTTTTTTGCTGGCCAGGGTGGTCAAGCACTGGGACCAACTGCCCAGAGAGGTTGTAGTGTCTTCATCCTTGCAGGTATTTAAAATCAGACTGATCTGGTTGACCTGTCATTGGACGGGGAGAGGTTGGACTGAATGATCTCCAGAGTTGCCTTCCAGACTCAGCTCTGCTGTGATTTGGTGGTTCTGTGAAATTCTCAGCCATGTGTACCACAGATTCATCATAGCTGAAAATGGGTGCTTTATGAAAACTTTCAAACCATTCTTTATTAGTACCTTTCTCATAACAAGGATTTTCTTTCCAGCCTACCCACCATTAAATTTCTGGCAGCTGCTTTTCCTTGGTACATCAGTACTGAGAGGGTCCTGCCTTCAGCCTCTTGCCAAGCCCCCTAAGGGCTGATCTCAGAAGGTCATAATCAGAGCTGACTGCCTGAATACTAACATTTGGGACATGCAAAAGCCATTCAACCATGAAATGTTATGTCCCTGAGCAGGAAAACTGGGTAGGAAGGGATGAATCATCATGATCTTATCCCCATCAGCAATTCCCTATCCTGACATGTATTCTCAGAGCAAAGTCAAGCCAATTCTCAGTCAGGGCTAACCGGATCAGAAACAGTACAAAGTACCCTAAGCTTGACCACAGTTTTAACATTCTTAGCCATGCCTCAAAAGTAAAGCCAACGCGGATCCCACCTTGAAATTTTGCAACAGGTCAGAAAGCCTCTCCTCCTAAACTAGAAACAACCTGATTCCCAACTTAATAAATGCCCTCTTAAGACAATCTGCTGCAGTAAGTTTCCAATGTTATTAGAAGTAGAAAGACTGTCTCTAGCTTCAATGCTAAGTAAAGTTTTTGTGGAATTGCAACCTTATTTGCAATGCAGAGAACTATGCTATTGAAATTAGTAAGGCTTTCTCCCCAGGAAAGAAGATACCATTTGATATTATAAGAATGGCGATTAGTTCTGATTCTCATAAGAGAAACTAACTTGTCACAGAACTTCCCTTCAGTCTTAAACCGTATGTAGACCTATTGTGATGCTACCAAAGGTTTTGTAAGCCTGAAGAATCAGGGACAAAAAGTCATCTGCCTTTAACTGGTATTAATAAACTCATCTGAAATTTTAGAATTTGTAATCACCAGAATAGTACTTAGGAGGCCCACTAACAGACCAAAATCACCCCTGGTATAGGTATCCGATATTTTTAACACTTTCAGAAGTCTGTATTGAGGATACGTTACCAAGGTATGCATCTTTCCCTGATTCTGAAACCAAAACCTTAATAATAGAGTTAGAAACTAAATTCTTCCGAGAATTCAGTAAGCTCTTCTCCTCTGAGATTTAGCTGACATGTTACTCACAATGGACAAAAACTATTCCCCCTCCCACCCCTGCAGAAGGGAGAGTATTCAGCTTACCTGAAAATAGAAGAAAGCTTGGCCAAACCAGTAGTGCATGATAGTAATCTGTGCTGCATCAAATTTCAAAGGTCTCCAAATATATTTTGTCATCATTGTCTGAATCAGCAGACAAAACACCAAGACTGGTAGATTGTGAGGTCTAAATAGGAGGGCTGCTAGTAGAACCAATCCACTATACACATCCCATAATCCTGTATCCTTCACGCTGGAGTCTGCAGAAATAACCTGTGACTTTAGTAAATCTTTAGTGCCAGTGAAGACTATGCCAAGAACAAAGACATAAACAAAACGAGCTTCAGTAATCCCCCTAAAGAGGAAATTAAAAAAAAAAAAAAGGTAATAATAATTAATAAATAAATTAAACAGAAAGATGAGCTACTTACTAATATCCATTTCACAGCTCAGAAAGTCTTTCAAGAGAGGTGTAAGACCAATGAAGTTCTGCCCAACAGGTTAAATTCTACGGGTAGTACCGACCAATTTCATGAGAGTGCTTTCTCAAATACAAAAACGCTAAAAATGGTTCATACTTAAATTGCAACACCTCCCAACCAACTTTAGCAAAGAAAACAGCTTGTGCTAAAAACTAGACTAATCTAAAATAAAAATAAAATTATATGTCAATTAATGTAACCAAAATAAATTTATGTTATTACTATTTAAGGTCTAGATCCATAAATATAGTCATATAAACATACCATTTAAATAGCATAATGAATTTCCCCCCAAAATAGTCCTTAGAGCAATATGGAAAGTTTACTTCAGGAATTAAATTAACTTCAAAATTACTATTCCCTTTAAGCTGTTCAGTGATTTTTCACAACTCATTCACACAAACATGTATTTCTTTTTTGCCAGACAAAAAGACAGTGATATGATATGAAGATCCTTATTTCAGCCTGAAATTTCTGAATACTACAGACATTTTCTCACCTTGCACAAGTTGCACAGATACACAGATATGCTGATTTATAACAGCACATTTTTTCCTTGTAATTGTACACATTTTTCGAATCCCTAAGCAATCCCAATTAAAAAAAAAAAAAAAAAAAAAAAAAAGGACAAGACTATTTTAAGTAGTAAGCGTAATTAGCATCTACTGCTATGTTCATTACATCTATAAATTCACTGGCCTCTTCACTTCCAGTGACAGTCAGCTTCTGAAGAAAGCACAGCATCTCATATAAAAAGCTGAGAAGGACACAGACCAGTAATCTCAAAAATATGACCTGCTATTCTGGAAGTGCAAGGCCCAAGGAACAAAGAAAGTGAAAGCAGATATCCAACAGAATGCACGGATATTCTCATGTTTACTTGGCAAAAAAAAGTCACAGAACACGTTAGTGTGAGCTAAGCTCTAGTAATAATCCAATGAACTCACCAAATGAGAATATTAAAAATTTTGTTGTTATAAATCCAATTTTTTATCTCACAAAATATAAAAATACACATTATCTACATGCTTTATCCGTAATTTAATATGCACTATCCTTAGGGATCACCAGTCACTTTATACATGAGTGGTGAATGAACATGGTCTCCTACAAAGTTAATATAATTCACTCAGAATTGAGGATTCTTGAATCATCTGGACCTAATATTATATGGAGGATTAGACCATGACACTAAACACAGTAAAAGCATAGTTACACTTGACGTAACTAGTGTAACTAGCTGACCACAGAAAATACCACAAGTCAAAATTTCTAAAAATAAACTTTTCTCTTTAAATTTATATTTTTTTCCAGCCTTTGGAAGGTCACCTTCCTTCTCAAACAATTACTAACAAATGAGCTTGAATTCAACCTTTCTTTTCCACGTACAGGAAAGAGATGCTAAGTGAAAGCAGGGTTCCCAGCATCTGAAGGCACTTACTACCTATATTCCTCTTTTTACTCTGTCTTATTAAAACAGCTATTTTGTTCCACATTTGTTGTTGGTCCTTTCTTACTGAGATACACAGAGGATCTAAAGGATAAAAAACTTTGAAACGTGACAGTAACTTTTAAACCAGTATATAATCAGAGATATATAAAGGTCTGGCATAATTTAAGCAAATCACCATGTTCACTATTTATTTAAGGTGAAATAACACAAAAAGCCCATATATTTCTTGTTATAATTGTGATCAATATGCTGACAATAGAACGAAGAAGTTCCCAGTAAATGCTTTGCCGTTAGTATTTAAGCACTCCACTTATTTCTCTAATCACATTTTGTTTGCAGCTCAGTTGCTGTATTTGATGTTCTGTCCCACACTGCACTATTTTTCTTCTCATTGCAAGGACAGTATTCTTCTGCAAGGATTTTACTCAAACACAAAGCAAAACTAAACATCACACTCAGAAGTCAGACAAGTTTCAAACACAGAGCCAAATCCTGCAGACTCAGTAAAGATTACAATTATTTTTGTAGCCAGCAGAACTAGCACACAATGTTAACACTAGTACACAACTAGAATTAACTTCAACATTTGGAGATATGGAATGCATGTAAGTATATCTAGATATACATACATAAAAATATTTGTTCTAAAACATGCCTCATTAGCAAATCTGATTTCCTATATGTCTGAATATATTCTCTTGCAGGGTGTTTTCCATCTCTGCACATCTTGTGAATCTCTGGTCCCTGACTAAGAAGCTCCAACAGAAACCATTTGTACCCATATCAAATTCAAAATGAGTGCAAGAGAAAGTTTGTAACATCCAGAAGACAATTGTTTTACAGCTTCTCTTCCATGATCCCTCCTCCTCATCAAATGTCCTAACTGGCTCGAATTTTTTCTGCAGCTCTCTGACATCTAGAAAAACTTGGGGCTGCAAGATCCAGGTACAATCCAACAGTACAACCCAACAGTAAAAAGTATCACAAGAAAACTAAAGCCACTTAGCTACATTCTAAAAATTGCTATCAGTGAAAGAGCCAATAGCTTCCTTACAGTTACAGACTAGTTCTAAGAGACTTAAACATCCATGTAAAGTCCTTTGCATTGTACAGCACAGTCTAAACCTCAAGGAGGATTTGCTTACACCTTGAGAGGTCATACATTACAGAACACTCACCTGCCAAAGAAAAACACAGAAAAGCAACTCTCCCAATTACCACCTAAGCATTTTTCAAAACTAGGAAGTAGCTAAATAAGCTTGGCACACACTCTGCTAAACATGGCAAGTCCATCTAAAACAAGAGGAGGTGGTGCATTTGGAGTTTCTTTGTAGCAAAAACACAGGGTATGACTATTAGATTTTCTCATATTAAGTCCTATCTGACTGGCTTCTGATCTGTCACAGTCAAAACACATTTCATGGGGCTCAAAATTACGCACATACCACAAAAACTAAGTGCTGGCCACCTGCAAAATAGAGTTTTATTCATAAGAATGTGATTCCAGCGTAGACATAAGCTCAACCCCCAATATCCGAAGTTAACACCTCTCTAGAAATAATTTACATAGCTGTTAACTTACTTTGAAATATCTTTGCTGTCATGTTGCCATGGAAATATGACATTTCCAATAGCTGCCCGGTAACTGTAGACTCCCAGGAGCCCGAGTGCCATAGCAATTTTTGAAACCAGGGAGCATCTTCTTTGAACCAGAAAGAAGATCATAAGTAGGGAGACTGCAGCCAAGAAGGAGAGTTCAGATTTATGTTCAGAGCTGAGGAAAAAGAAACAAAAACAAACCCCAAACCTTCAAACCAATGTAATTACTGCTAAACACATTTGACAGAGCCTGAGCTACAGCACTGTATTTCCAAATTAATCACTGCACTGACATCTGTTATGAACCTTCAGAGAGGTATGGTAAAATAGTTTAGTATTTTTAGAAAAGCAGTTTTATTAATGAGATTTTCTATTCAAGCATGCATGTTTAAAAGTGTAATTATTGTGTTCCACCATATTATAGTTATTCTGTTAACTATATAAAAGCTGAGCTTCATATTCCGTAATGGAAAAGGGTCTAATGCTTTTAAACTGGGGTTTTGTTACTTACACATTTTGAAGCAGTGCATTTTGTTTATATTACAGCATTTCATTCTCTAACATAAGGCAGAAAAGATTTTTGCACTATAGAGTTAGAACTATTCTCCCTTTTTAAATGTATTTGACCTGTTTTAGACATACAAAAATCACTTAGCCAAAATGATCAGAAATATATTTACACAGTTTAAAACATACACAAACAAACACATTAGCACAATATAATTCCCTTACATAACTACAGCACTTTGTGGTGGATCAATACGTACAAGAGATAAAGACACAAAATTTGTATCATGGCCAAGAAGATTACCAGTTTGTTTGTTCCCTCACATCCTAAATAAGTAACGCTCATTCCAGAATCAAGGGCATTTCACTGAGCATGCTGCCAACGTTATGTATTTAAATCTACAGTGATAACAATCAGCACTGCAAAATGTAATGGGGAAAGGTAGAGATCTGCACTCAAGCCATACCACAGCTACCTATGCAATTTCAGAAAGCCCACTGTAATCCAAGAATTGCTAACCCTTGCCTACTCAAATATTCCCAGTATCCCAAACGACCTAGAACCACTAATTTTGTTAGATCTACCTTCTGCTAAGAACATAATGTAGGGTGTGAGAGCCAAGGGCTCCATCTTCTGTCTTCCACACTTCAAAATGCCATGCTAAAAGATCACTAACTTCAGCAAACTGACAGTGAGCCTGGGCTGTTATCTGCATTAACTCTGATCACACTTATGAAACTCCAGTTTTATCTTTGATTTAATCAAAATTATAGTACGCCAAACAGGTTTACTTTCCTATTCCCTAGTATATGCTTTATCAGGAGTTTGACGAGTAGCTGTTTCAGCTGTTGTGCTTGCTGTTGTGCTTGGGAAGTCACAGAGGAAAGGATATGGGGCAGAAAAATTGTCCTGTTAGTCTTCTCTGCAGCACCCAGTCAAGCACTTAGCACAACTTAACAAGACTCCCAAGAGATGCACTGCTGTCTGCAGGCCAGTAGAGGAAAGTGAGAGGAATAAGAACTAGAACACTATGAGAGAGAAAATGTAGTCTTGATGTTTCTCCTCACTATTGTTCTTCCTCTACAGGAAGAGACCATAGAAGCAGTGAATGGATTGCTACAGCAACCTGTGAAGATAGTGCATACACCATCTTTTATGCTCAACTCGAAGGACTGATTTAATAGCCACTGCATCCTTCAAATGGACCTTTGTGAAAAATTGTAAAGCTTTCAGACTGTTCTCTCCTTCGCTGCTCATTGTACAAGAAGAAGATAAAACAAAACAAGGATAAATACCAGCACCTCGTCATCTTTGTCTTTATCTCTTTATCTAAAAAAGTCAATGCACTTCTGTTAAGAGACTTTTGCAGGCAAATGTAACACTGCAACACCTAAAAGTTTAAAAAAACCATTCCTACCTGTAAGAAGTAATTGCTGGTGCTGTATCAAGCAAGATGCCCACTAACAGCTGCAATTTCCTACAGTGAGCATTTGAAACCATTCTCTAACCCCCTCCAAAAAGAAAAAAAAAATTCTCAGAGAAGGCTTTGTGGACAGCAAGTGTATGATCAAAGTCATGTGCGCATCAGTCACCAATGGTGCATTCCTGACTGCTGGCACAGGTGTTTGTATCCAACTGGTGTCTGGGTTTTCTGATAACAGTCCTCTGTGATTTCTGTTTTGGATTTTTTTGAACCATGTAAACTTGTTGCAAAAAAACCTACTCCAGTGTTTCACAGAGTTTGCTGAAGAAACAATAAAAGGATTTATAGCAAGTAAAGTCAGGTCAGCATAAGCCACCTATGGTTTCAAGGTTTTCTAGCCAAGGTTCTTACAGTTGGGCAGCTACATGCATATTAAATTAGCATGTATTTTGAAAGGGGATTGTAGTTGCTCAACACAGAGTCCAGCCATTTAGCGAAGTTCTAAATTATTTTGATATTCTACTCAGCAATACAAGCATGAACGTGGTGTTACTCTGATCTCAGCTGAACTGTAGTGGGGTTTGCCTAAACCACGAAACTGAAAGTGAAGAACCAACAGATTCCTGAGAGAGAACCTGGGGAGGGGGGAAGGAAAAAAAAAAAAAAAAAAAAAGAGAGCTTTGGCTATGTGCTCTTACCGTAACAGCTTGTGGTCTACACTTTCATACTTCTGGTATGAGAATAAAGATAGAGTACATTTCTTTCCACTGCTTTGACCTCACCTCACTACTGCAAATACAAGTAGAGTGAAAGGAAATACAAATATGCACAATTCATATTTTGCGTGGATAAAGCCTTTTTTAATTGGTTACTTTCATTCTGCTGTGTACAATAGAATACATAGGAGTCACATGGTATGCTAGCTTTGGGGGGAAGGGCATTTGGGGATGGTTAAGTACATTATTAAAAGAAAATATCCTCCCATGCTGCTACTTCTTGTCACTTCTCTTCAAGCTGACACTGTCATTGACAGCTTCACTCCTTCCACAGTGAGCAACGTAGCAGCTCTGACACCTTCCAAGTATCAGCTTTGACCAAGATTAACAGCCAAATGAAGCTAACTGAATACCAACTAATTAAAAAGAAAACCTGACTTCCAGGCTAATTTAGGGATTGCATGTTTGCTTCCACTTCATCTATTCTCTGATTTTCTTTTGCCCTTTTTCCCTCCAAAGGCTTTTTTTTTTCCTTTGTAGCAGGTTTCACAGAGTCTCTTCACAAATAACAAAGAACATTTTCCTTATTTCAGCACTGTTGAATGCATCCCTAATAGCCAAATTCAATACACTACATGGTAGATGATTGATTTTGATTTTCTGTGTTTTGCTGCTTACATTTTTCCATGCACAAACATGCACAATAGTCCCTTTGTCTCAAATGCTGAGCCCCTTAAGCACTGTCCAGATAAGCAAAATATTAGTCTGAGCATGAGCACAGATGTCTAGAAGGCCAATACAGGGGGCCAGGGGGGGAAGAGGGTAGTTTGTTCATTAGTTTATCTTAAACACAAAATAGAAGGCAGGCTAGAAAAAGCTTGAGCAGCTTTAACTCAAACTAGCAAGGGTACACATGATCTAAGTAAGGCTCTAATTTCTTATTACTAAAAAATGTGCTATTAAGACATAACTATGCAAATTGAACACATACTAAAAATAGAATAACAATCAACCTTACAGACTGGCAATGCATTTTGGGAAGACGAATAAGTGCTTTATGCAACTCAGCTTATCACCAACTTTTAATTTATGCTATAAGGAAAATGCATCATCTCAATCCTGATCAAAACACTAGGGAAACAGACATGTCTACCACTCTTGTTCTCTTGTGAAGGAGAAACAAAGATGTTAAAACCTCCAACCAAAGAAAATGCAAGCGTGCTTGCCAAACAGGAATTCACAGAAACTCTACAACCCACAGGACGTGCAAAGATTTAATTGTGTCATTGACTGATCTTTCTAAAGCTTGTCCAGTGAACCATTTCAGACCCAAGAACTCACCTACATCTCATCACTCAAGTCCAGAAACTGTGCACTTCAAATTCTGCTATTTGGGCAATCTTTTAATCCTACAAAGCAACTGAAGTATATGTCAGCATGGTGACACATATTGTACTTTCCTGTTAACCTAAAAACTGCTCCATTGACTTAAGTCAGGATGTAGCTCCACAGCAGCCCAAGCCAACCTGTGCCAGGGCTGCCAGGGTTCTGCTCTTTCCCCTGCTCCCTAAACATTACACCAATGAAAAGGAGAAGGCGGGACCGTGGCAAACCCAATAACACATCCTCTTAGCCTGCAACGGCACAGCACTCTGGACTGTTCCACAATCTTTTTAGAGCCCACAAAGGCAGAATTTTGTGGATCATTGCTTCTTTCTCAATCAGATTTGAAAAGCAAGTGAGTTTTTATAAGGAATGATCGACAACGGCAGAAAGAAAAAAAAGTTTATGTCTGCAGCACTTCCAAAGATGCAGGTAGTTCCACATTTTGTTTCTATAGGAATTTCAACAGCAGCAGTGCTAGCTTGCACACTCTTCTCCTCCTGCATTCCTATTACTAAGCCAGCCCATTTGCCTGTGAAGCTAGATGGTAAATCAGAGTGGGAAGTGACCCACCTGCAAGCGGAAAGTTTCCCACCCCATCTTGGGTTATTTTTCCAGCCACACCTATTCAATGATCTAGTTCACCTCACTGACAAAGCAACAGCTGTGCTGGTAAAATACAGGGCCAGTGCGGGGAGCAGCAAGAGAGCAGATACCTTGCCTTTTAAGGCAAGAGCTCCTTTAATATACCATTATAGCCAAACAAGCAGTCATAGCCTAAGACTATAGTTGTAGGACCTCTTCTCTCCTACTTGCTTCAAGACCCAAGCACATATACCCAAAGTGAGGCTATAGTTTGGTGGGGAAGCACAGGGAGCAATTCATCTATAAATACTGAAGTTTTGGTTTTGATATCCAGCTGCTGTACTTCAGCCTTACTGAAGGGGGAGGCAGTCAGCTTTAATAATAGGCTTGTGATGGCTTTATGAAGGGGAAGTAACAATCAACCTGACACACTTCTGTGATGAGAAGACTAGCTCGGTGGAAGAATGGAGAGCAGGCAATGTTGTTTATCTCAGCTTTAAAGAGGCTTTTAACACCTTCTTCCATAACATCCTCCCAGGCAAACAGATGCAGTCCAGGCTAGGAAAGCAGACAGTGAGGCAGACTGAAAATTGGCTCAGCTGCCGGGCTCACAGGGCTGCAATCAGCAGCACAAAGTCCACCTCAAGACCAGTCACTAATGATCAACCCCAGGGCTTGGTACTGGGGCCAGTACTGTTTGACCTCTTCATTAATGGATGATGTGACAGGGTGCAAGACTGAACATAATGAAGAACTGAGAGGAGCGGCTGACACAGTAGATTGGTCTGCTGCCGCTCAGAGGCACCTCAACAGACTGGAGAAATGGCCCAGCCGTAACCTTATGAAGTTCAACAAGGGCAAGAGGCAAGTCCTGAACCTTGGAACAAATAGCTACACACATTAGGATAGGTTGGGGGGCTGACCATTTTTCAGAGATGGCTCTGAAAAGCCATCAGCCAGCAATGTATCCTTGCAGCAAAGACGACTGACAGCATTATGAAAAATGTTACCAGCAGGTTGAGGAAGGTGTTTCTTCCCCTCTGCTCAGCCTTGGGTCCAGTTATGGGTTACCCAGTATGGAGAAAGATATGGACATATTGGAGCAAGTACAGTGAAGGACTAAGAAAATGATGATGTGATTGGAGCAGCTGTCATACAAGGAGAAGCTCAAAGCGCTAGGACTGGTTAGTCTTGAGGAGAGAAGGCTCAGTATGGATCTTACCAGCCTGACTGGAGGTGGAGGGTGTTAAGAAAGATAAAGCATATTCTTCTCGGTGGTGCCCAGCAAAAGGACAAGAGGCAAGGGACACAAATCAAAATAAAGGAAATTCTGTTTGAACAGAAGGAAAATTCTCTGGGGAAAAATAAAACAGGTTGCCCAAAATAGCTGTGCAGTCTCAGTGCTTGGAGATGTCAAAGACCCAGCTGGTCAGGGATCTGAGCAATCTGTTCCAGATCACTCCGCTCTGAGTAGGGGGATTGAAACAATTCACTTCCAGAGGTCCCTCTAACCTCAACCATCCTGTGATCCTGTTTTTTTCAAAAATGGATAGTAATTCTGCAAAACACACCAATTACAATTCACAGGAGAAAAAAAAAATTAAACAAAAAAATAGCCTTCTTTCTCCATTCTTCCCTTTCCCTCTCCAACAACAATAAAAAAAAAAAGACTAAGCCAGAACAGGTGTAAACAGCCTTTACCTGAGTGCATTGCTTGGAAGCTCTTGACAGGCAATATGTTAGAGCTGGGCATACAGGATTTCCCAGCTTTTGTTACGAATCAGGAAGCCCTAGAAGCACCTGCTCTAGCTGCAGACTATGTTCTACCTGTGCTATCTCACTGAGTCCCTGCAGCCCAAGGCTGTAACAGATTTTGCTGCTCTACAGGCATATCTAGCACCAGGAAATCAGAGGTGGGAGCACGCTTACCAAAAGCACATCTCTGAAACAAATGCAATTTTTCAGCTGCAAGAATATCAAGTCCTTGTTTCATGGCATGTGGCACTAGTATGCTCCAAAGAAAAGGGCTGACGGTCTGAAGAAGGCATCTGGCTCAGGAAGTTATTGGGCCAATAAATCTTTGGAAGATGCTCAGGGTTCATTATAAAAATCTTCCCAGTTGCACCAAATCACACCTAATCCTGCTCGCACACTGGCTTACCTGATAATGGAGTTCTCTATCATGTGGTCTTAATGTTGGGAATATGACATTCCTTCCTCAACCCCTCACTTCATCTCAAGAGGAGGAATGCATGGCAAAAGCTTTGGTACAGAACAACTGCTATAATGCGATAAATTCCCTCATAACTCATGTCCTTCAGCACCCATGCCTGTCACAGCAATTAGCATTTTATCTGTGAGGCTGCCAATAAGTAACAAGCCTCATATTAGTTCATTTGCTCATGTCACTATTAACGAATGATGAATGACATTTCATCCATACGTTGTAAGATACTGGCAAGAAATCTCTTTATCTTACAAAGCACAGCCTCCCCATCTGCTGTCTGCAAAACTTTGACTAGTCAGTCACCAGGTATCGCTTCTCTGTCCACCAACTGAAGTGCAGAAGACAGTTCAAGTATCAAGTACTTTTTATCACTGAATAATGGCTGTAGTTCTTCACAACACTAAAAGGTAGTAGAAAAAGTAGAAGCCCTTCTCCAGTGTACTTCACGTTATAAAAAATTCCCTTTCTTGTTTATCATACTACACGTGAAAAATTCCTTCAATTTTCCACCCACATGTTAAATGTCTGTGATAAACAAGGAAGAATTCTATGTGAGCATCTTCTCCTGCAACTGCATAAAGTTCAGAATTCAGCAGAACATTTTGTTTTAATTTTAAGGGTTTGATTCTATTGAGCAATTTTTAATTTCCCAAACCAGACACTGTTGACTTTCACATAGAAAATATTTACTTTTTGCTTCTGATAAACCTATCGTGTATAATTGGCATTAATTAGATAAGTCATGGTGCAGGGCAAAGATTATAAACTATTGATAGTACACAAGAAATTACTCCTGCATGAAATAGCAGTGAAAAATTCTTTATGCTGCTTCACTGTTTACCTGCTTTGCATGTTTTACAGCACTTCCTAAACAGCAACTGTATAGAAACGCATACATATTTCACTAAATGAAACATATATTAATTTTTAAACAAGACAGTATGACAATAAATCAGATAAGATACCCACCTTGTCAACCAATGTCCAAAGTCTGGCCGATGAGCCCACTGGACGCCTGTCTGATTCAAGGATCGAAGTAGTCGGCAGCAAATAAGGATGATCCATGGACTTGCTAAGCTTATCCACTTATCTGATCCGTTTATTAATTCAGCTGAAGAGGTGGCCTTGCCCAATTTTGAATTACCTGCTGCTGGTATGTCTATATCCTTGCACTCAGAGGCTTCCCTGATACTCTCAAAATTTTGTTTCACAGTGGTGCTATGTTGAGGATCACATTCTTTCAGAAGAAAATTATTTCTACAAAGTTCCTGACACAATGCCAGACAAAGCGTATTGATAAGAAAATACCAGGTTTGATGTTCCTCTTCTATAAAACTGCTTGCACCCAAACTTAAAACATGGCCAATTGTTCCCATCAGGATCAGCACATCTATTTCTGACCAGCTGGAACTGGACACAACTGGATTCTGCAAACAGAAAAAAAATATAGCAGTGATGAAAATGTATAAAAATTTCACTTGTTTAAGTGTTCATAGTATGCTTACTGCAATTTCCTCTAAGAAAACAAAGTGACACAAGTTATTTCTATCTCAACAAATCCCCCAGATTTATAAAGGAATCATTTTATTGTAGCCTATTTAGCTAGCATTGCAACATAATCATATGGTTTAAAATGACATTCTGTTTAAGGGAAAAAACTTCTCTATGAATAACCATCACAACTGTATAGACTAAGATTCCTTACCACCCTGTGACAGAAGGTTTGGAACAGAAAGGTTTCTGCATGTCACACATTCATGGAAGTAAATACAGAAATCCTGAAGAGATCAAACTTGAAATACAGATAACAGGTAATTTCCTAATAGTTTAAATCTGTGCTAACCTCAACTCAGTAAGAGTGACAGCCTGCACTACTCAAATTAACAAAAGTTACTTGCAGACAGTCTGATGGCACCCCTTAACCTTGCTTAGCTTGAAATGTATCTTTCATCATATAATCTACTTTAAACCTTACCCATCTATTATTTACTTCACATGCTGTGCCTATCTGAAACCATAATATTCTTTGTCTAATGCCTCCATTAGTTCGATTTCCTGTTCACAGCAGCTGCTTGGAATTGCCTCATCATCGCTGCCCTGGATGATACGGCTGAAAAGACAGTATAAGGGCATGTGGAAGGTGAGAGCATCTGGCTCATTGACATTATCAGGTAAAGGACCTTTTCAGCTCACAAAAATAAAAAGTAATGGGGAAAGCCATAAAAAGACCACACAGAGACACAAACCTGATAAGGGAGATCACAAAGATGACCAAAACTCTTCAGCCATTAATTGACAGGCCATTAAGAAACCACAGGCACAGCTCTGAAGAGCATCAGCCTGGACTTTGTAACAGATAAGGGGGAAGTGACAGAACATGAGTTGTTATGGATATCTCAGGGAGCCTATGGATCTATGCAAACTCATTAAGCAATGCTTCAGGAAAGTGTCAAAGGTGGGGGAGAGGGGGTGGTGAGGCAGGGGGCAAAGTGAGAGAAAGAAGGATAAAGGGGCCAGAGTCACGTATGAGCAGGCGCCAGTCAGCACACTGCTCTGACTGAGCCCTGTGCCTGATCACTGTGCTCTATCCCACCTTATTAAATCCTCTCCTAACTATCTTCCTATGCAACTCCACTCTCTGACCCGCCTGTGGGTGCTGCAAAGTCTCACTGTAAGTAACTGGGGGACAAGCCTGCAATGCCAGCAACTGGAGACCAGAGCAAGTAAAAGCAAACTCCAGCAATTCAAGCAGAAATACCGGTCACTGGACGCACACGCCTGTAGTGCCAGCGACTGCAGCTCGCAGGGGTCCATGTGCCAGAGACCAGAGTGGGGACCACAGGCTGTCGGGAGGGATCAGAGTGCCAGTCTCACTTATGCTTAAGATTTACTGGCAACAGCATATGTATTTTTGTTCAATAAGCAAGACCATCTAGCATGGAGAGGACAACAAACAGTCGATACAAGAAGCTAGTTAACACTATCTCAAATTTTGCTTTGAGGAAAACAACTTCTGCAAAATTAAGATTTTGTAAGATGTGTGTGAAAGAATGAAGGAGGTATAGTTAACATTATCACCTATTCATATCGCCTCAATTTCTTGTGTTGTTAAAGAAATACATTACACTCAAGTCACTTCAACTAAAAAAAAAAACAAAACACAACCAAAACCAAAACCAACAAAAAGATCCCCATGAGGTAACACACAACAATAATGGGGGAAAAAAACACTAAAAATTTAGCACAAGAACAGTTATAATCTGAAAAAATGCCCAGGCCCAATCTAAATTTACTAGCATTTGAAATTTCTTTGGTGGTCTAAAGACCACACCTTTTTGTTTAGTATTACACCCTGGAAATCAAATACCATAAGCTACATTCCACAACAAAAGGACAAGGTAGAGATGTAGTCCATGCAGAAACCAAAGACCATGAAATTCACAAAGCTGAGACAAGAACAGTACATGACTAAACTACAGGAAGTTTAAACCCCCAATTATTCCATCATGCTGACCTTAAAGATCTTGGCTAACTAAATAATGAGCAAGCATGTAAGCACCATCTGCTTGCAAAGACAAAGGAATTTGAGATCCTCTACAACTGGGAATGAATGAGTCTTCAATACAATTCGTCTGCTTTATAAGAACATAAAATCTGTGTAGTAAGAATTGCTCTCCTGTATCTGGTTGCTGTCAGCACTGATATGAAGAATGAAGAAGTGCTATATTATCAATGGGGAACACACAAAAGCCTCATGAAAATAGCGGTGTTAGCATGAAACGTCCCAGTGTCAGAAATCCATACTTCTTGCCTGCTTGTCTGACTTCTACAACTCCAGTGAAGAGAGAAAAAAATTTACTCCTATATTCACATCAAAGGGTTAAATCCCTATGGTATTTAGTGATAAACCACATTTCAGATCAGTTAGTCGCTACGCAAAATGAAAAATTATCCTGCAAATTATAATCTCCTGACCCTCCGTGAGCTAAGAAATAATGAAAATAGCTTCATCATGTTTTTTTTAAATTTACTGGTAATCCCTCATATATGAACTCTGCCTTATTAGGAATGCTATCATTACATTTTTTTTATAAATGCTGACCTTAGATTACTTATTTTGTACTTAGTTTTTAGATCTGGTTTAGATCTAGGCACAGAAATGAAGGTCCTACGCTGATATGCACAGCTCTGTCTTTCTAGCTGCTGAATGCTTCCAACCCTCAGGAACTCAGTAGGAACTCCAGATACTAAAAGACTTGTATGATTTGCACCGATATCTTGGCAAACAAACTTAATACTGAATCTTTGGTTTAGAATTTCATAAATGCCAGGCTTGCCAATTTAAGCCTGTAATCTGCCAAGCCAAGGTAACTTTAATATTTGATGTATCAGCATTAGTAATTAAGTAATATAGAAACTGACCTCTTTTCCCTAGCTTCCAACCTATCTTGTTAGCTTGCAGAAGTGCCAGAACATAAACAATGGAAAACATGCAACTCTGCCAATGAAACTTGCAATTTCTTCATTTTGAAATAGAACATTCTGTAGTCTATCTTCAGGTCCAATTCCAGTTATCCGGATTCTGTATGGTTGAGACTAAAGCTCTTTTTCACAAAAATTAACCATCCATAGTTAATGCCTGAGGAATTTTACAATCACTTTTCAGATGAGAAATATTTTACTTTTCATGTTCACTATCATCCAAAATTTAGATATTTAGCATCTGTTCCCTTCGGAAATTTGAGCTCCCTGCACCCAGTCTTGATTCTCGGTGATGGTAACTTCCTTAGGACAAGAGTACTACAGACCACACTTGCTCCTACATTTTCACAGCAGTTTGGGATCATTTTGGAAACCTACCCAGCAAAGGCACCATCCAATCACCTTTCCACACCTACCCAAGTAAAAGAATGCAAAAACATTTTTAGGTAAAATTGCATAAAAATATAGAGAAGGAAAACCAAGAATATTTTAAAATGAACAGGGTATTTTAAAATAAACAGAAAGAGGACATTTTGTTTATGTAATGAAAAAAACCCACTATAATTCTGCACAATGAGAATTCTCAAAAGCTGTATTCGACAGGCTTTAACTTTTGTGTTCTACTTTCAAAAAAACTATTGGTTTTGATTTCACTCAGAAATAGGAAAAAAATACAACCAGTAGTAGTAAATACTGTACTTAAGTCAACTACCAAGCAATTAGAGTGAAGCTGTGGACAAGAAGCTAAAATTTTTGACAATTTTCTCGAATTCATAAAGGGCTGCAGAACTATTTAAAGCCTGAAGTGTCATTAAAAGAAGGGACTGCTGCTGCTAGAAACATAGTAATCAGAACCTATAAATAACAGTCAGGAAGCAGATGCTAACACTGCCTGCACTGGTCTTCAGAAAATTCATGAACTTGGTAATCAGTTTCTAAATTCAGCCACAGTGGAAAAAAAGCATTACAAATGAGAAGCACTTCAGAGAAATCTTTAGATGTGAACGGAAACAATTTGAAGAAGAAAAGCTCTGAAGCCATTAGCAGGAGACTTTATCTTAATTACTTTTAAAATACCTATATTTTATCATATACCATGAGCTTAGAAAAGTCTTTTAGCTTTTTTAACTGGCAAGACTTTGATTCAGGATTCTACTCCTGCTATCAGAAGAGCAGGCCTTCAGAGCTCTTTCAGAAGTAGAGCCCAAGTGCAGATTCACACTGTGGAGATGCACAGGTCACAGACACCTGGATTCAGAGATATTTTAGCATAAGTTATACTCCTAACCCACACAGAAGACCCCTCAAGATCAACACACAGCATATATGGACAATCAGTTTCTCCCCCAAAGTCTAGGTATTCTATTGGGAAGGGGGATGGAAGGTGGGACCTTAATGTTTGTGAATTACAGAGTTTGTGTCCCAGCTACTTGAGGTTATTTACTTAACCTCTCACATCCATACTGCAGGCAACACCAAATTATCCACTGATCCTTCCACATTCTCCAGACTCCACCTTTGTATAAGCAACCACCTGCAAAAACACCCACCATATCATTCTGCAACAGCCCTGAGACCAGTAAAACTGTAAATCAAATCCAGGTCACTGCTTTTATACATGTCTGGAATAGAGGAACTTACTAACTAAACCTACAAAATATTTCAGGCTTGCTTTGGGACTTGAACAGAGAAAGCAAAGCCTATCTGACTGATGAGATGAAATATATATCCAGTCACCTATGGAACAGGACTGAAGATGGGATGACTAAAATGGATTTCTACTGGTCTGGATACAAAGTCATGTCTGCCTCAACCAGAATTATTATTGCCTACACTTTGCAAGACATACTTCAGCTTCCCGTGTTTTCAGATATGTCTGAGGAAGGAATATACAAACAGACCTGGATAGAGAATCCAGTATTTTTTTATTTCTATCTGCCCCAGCCTTGGAAAAACTAACACACACACAAACCTTCTGGGAAACATTGCTGAAAACCTCCCCATTCATGTATTATCAACTTGAAATAGATGATCTGATCATCCGCTGGTATGTCCTGAGGTACCAGCTAGGTAAAACTCCAGAAAACACGTATGCACCAATTTCAGATATTCCTCCACCGTTCTTGTTCAAACAGGAAATGCTCGAATTGATAATTGTTCCATCATAGACAAATGGAGGTATTTTCAAAGGTGACATGAAAACAAGCAACTTCGTGTCCAAGAGACACTAACTGATCCCTGTCCTAAAACGACAGAAGTGTTATTGCCAGTGACATCACATTTCACTTGTGAATAAAATGGGTTTTTTCCACTTCTTGAATTCCAGATGGTGTCATAATTGGTACCAAAGAGGAAAAGGTGAGAAGCGCCTGCTGAAACATCCTTCAAACAACAGGAGATTGAATCTAAAGCCCCAATATCAACCAGGGAGAATGCTCCAGCTGCTGTGGTCTCTCATATGCAGAACATAGGGTGCTGGAGGCAACAATATGAAACTGGATGCAGTATCCTGGACATAATTTCTAATCAATTTGACTGGTTTTGCTCAGTTTGCCCTCAAAGGCAGGTGTACAGACAAAGCAGGGCTGGGGAAGGAAGACAATTGAAATTGAAAGGATAGATAAAGACTTCTCACATGTACTCCTGTCCATGCTCCCTAGGCATAACTGACTAGGTCGTATCATCAGAAATGGCCAATGGGTAATGGGTATGGAAGCAGCATTTCCTCCTTTTAAGTTCTTCAGAAAGATACATTCTAGAAGTGGAACAGCATGGATGATATGGGAGCTTCTTTTTATGTGTTCCTTGAGGAATTATTTGCCTCCATGAGGGAGCTAGCAATTAATCCCTTTCATAAGAAAAGCCAACTCAAGTTTTGAATACCAGGAGACATTTTGCAATTGCTGCTGTGATCGTTGAGAGAGCAGCTGTATTAGCACTATATAAACCATCTGCCGGAAGTTGTTCACACCAGCAGCTGTCTCTCACCAACAAGGATGAAAACATGCCAAGAACAGATGGGAATGAAACCCTAAGACTCAGGTCAAATTAAAAAGGCAGAGTGTGTACCTGTCAATTAATACTTGGTAACAGCCTGTTCTAAATTTAATAATAGCCAAGGAATAGCAGCATCTTCCTAGACTGCAGTCTTTGATCTAGTAGGAAAACATTTTTCCTGGGTCATATAAAGTTACTTCAAAGTTACTCCTACAGTAGTGGGTGTCACAAGGAATTAACCCATCTCTAGCCACATAACAAAGATTTCTCACCACAGACAGACAAAATTACTTTGAGACTATCAACATGGAAGTGAACTCTATAACTCATTGCCACTGTTCTCAACTCTTTCGAAGTAGAACATCTGTAAGTTTTACACAGGTCTAGACAGGCATCAATTTTAGGTTCTTACTGTTTGCTAGAATTAGAAAAACTGGTAAAAATTAAGATGAAAAATGAGCTTGTCTTCATAGTTGTGTTTATCATTGCACAGCAAGAAAATATTTTCTACAGAATATACTGGATCATTAATTATTATTTCAAGGCCATATTCTTTTACTTTTTCTAAGAATAATTTCTAACTCATTTACGATAAAATACAGAAAGCTAATAAAGGCCCTAAGTAAAACAATTTGGAAATGGTAGAAGTGAACTGAGTCCATTTAAAGACCAACACAACCCTAAGTATCAACAACGTTAACAAACTGTACAACTGGACATCTCATTCAGCAGATTTATCCATTCACACTGATTAATTTTACATTCTTCTTTCATTTGCCTGTAAAAAACCCCACACAAGCTTCACTAGCTTTGGCAGCAAAACAGCTAGAAGCTGATTTTATGGCTGGACTGACAGTTCTGGGCATAGTAAGTTTCACAGTGAAAGAAGAGTAAGACATTGCAAATTCTATTTCCTTGGAATTACCTGAATTCTATTCAATACAACAAGAAAACTCATCAACTACTTTATAGAAGGTAAGTACTTGGACAACTGAGAACCCTTCCAAGAATTACAAAGACTGTAATAAACTCCATTTCTTAAAACTTAAAAAACTCAAAAAGTTTAACTTAAAAACTGAAGAGACAGAGTAATTTTGCTCTCTCTGTTACAGTTTCAAAACTATTTGGAAAAAAAAAAAGCATTAAGAATACCAATATAAGAAAGGGTACTGGCCAAGTGTTTTCTGACTAGTCTGAGAGCATTAATGTCTGTGGTATTTGGGAAAGGACAGATCATCACCAGTGCAATCTGTTGCAAAATATCATACATCTTGCTTTAATTGCAATTGTGAAACACCACTGTGTAACAGTACAAAATTAGTACACAGCATAACTGTTTCTGATCTCATAAAATCAGCTGCAAAATAATTTACACTACTTAGAACATTTCTTAGAGTAATGTGAAAATAAGGACTTCTATGATCTTCATTATAGCAATTGGTATCATGCCACAGTGAACACACCACATTTCAACTACAATTTTAAATTATTCAAATGACATTATAAATAACAATTTAAGTACGCATAGAGGAAACTTAGGAAACTTTATCTGACAGTATGCCACAAAGAGCAAAACATTTTGAACTCTAACTAATGTATGCTCTCACCTTCAGTGGAAGTCTGGAATTCTCAAAGATCTTTGCAATAGCAGATAAAATACCACACATGAGTGCAGAAATTAGCATCATCACTCCAACTGCTGTTAACCAGGATATACTGCAGAAATAGCATAAACTTTCTGCCGATGTGCATACAATGACGTGAACTGCACATAGCATCAAACACATCAAGTAAAACAGCAGAGAGAATAGTGGAGGGGAGAGAGGCACTTCAAATTCTGCCCGGCTGCTCAGGGCTTTCGGAATGCTGAGCAAAAGCAGCAGCAGAACCTAGAAAAAAAACAGAGAATTAATATTTAAAGAATCAGGGTTAGCTGAAACAATGAGAATTCACACAAAAAGTCATACTGTTATCATCCATATCACTCTGCTAGTATACATACTTCATCAAAAAAAAACCTATGAGGAACTATGCTGGACTTTTTGACCCCAGTAAGGTATTACCATATAAATGGGAGAATCAAAGATTCTGTTTTCATTTATTCAGAGCTTAGACACACAAATTACCAGAGTTTAATAAATTACCATGTGCCTCCTCACCTGTGGTAACTGATCACATGCATGATCATCATTCCCTGCAAAAGTAAGAGTTTTAACTCCCAATATCAAAATAGTTCCCAAGTGAACAAGTTTGACCCATTATTTGTCACCTGTAAATGCATAGTTACATATACTCTCTACCAAAGGCCATTTATCTCACAGTGTGTGAGATACACATACACAGAGATCCTGCTGCATTAAATACCTTCCCAGACCAGGGAAAGTTGTCATCCTATCATACTAGTGTATACTGCATTTCAAGCTTATGAATTCTCACAGTATTTACTTTCTTGTAACTTTCCTCATCTTAATTTGATTTATTCGTTTTACTTTTACTTTGCTCTAACCTGCACAAAGATCAGGCAGAATTCCAAGTTTTCTCTCAGGTAACTGTAGCAGCGGAGATGAATAGTATCATGAATAATTTCTGCTACCCATGTACAAACCTTTAAAAGTGAAGGGAAAATTCAGCCACATGCAAAAATGCTTTGGAAGGGGGACAGATGGAGCTAGGACTAGACTGAGTTCAATCAGCTTGTGCTAGGGCAAGATTAAAACAAATCAAGATAAAAACAACTATATCAGACCACTGCCAACTTGTAATCTTTCAGTGTCACTTGTGAAGACCTTTGCCTAAAATTGTTCCCACAATACAGGGAGGTAAAGTAGACCAAAAAAAAAAATCCAATGTATTGTAGCAGTCTTCCTTCTTCTTCATATTCTACTTCACACAGTTCACTTGGTTATGAATATATGAGGTTTTACAGTATCAAACTGGCTTAGGTCTTACCTTTTAACACAGCACTCACAATTAAAACAAAGGCAGCACTCATGATAGCAAAATGCTCCAATTGTAGTTATCTACAAATCTAAATTTAGCTCTTTTGAGCAAATGCATTGTTATCAGTTCATGTCCCAGAAGTATTCTCTGCAATACATGATAAATGGCATTTATAGCATGGTGTAGTTTGAAGTCACCTGTGAGATTCCCCAACCTTATTTATTCAGTGAGGGTGGAAAATATGTATCAAAATAAAAAGATTTTGGAAAGCAAGGCAGTTTCTTGAGTATTGCACTAGAGAAAAGAAAAAACTCCAGCAGTTTTGCAGAGTCTTACAGTGATGCTGAGCAAGCTCTTGTCAACCAAAGTTTTCATGCCTAGTAGCTGCATGTTTCTTTTGATGAAGACCCAAAACACCTGAGATCTGTTTCATAGAAACAGTAAGCAGCTAAAACTACATTTCAAAAAAAAAAAAATCCAATACTTCAGGTCCAAAGTAACTGTCAAGAGCTCAAATGCATAGGTTCCCAAAACAATGGAACAAAAAAGAAATATAAGCACTTCAGCTTTGCGCTGAGCTTTGTCCACCTCCAGATTTGCCATCTGTAGAGTGGGAACAGAAACTACCACCTCACCTCCCAAAAGCACTGTGGAACTAATTCCTGTGAAGTGGTCTGCAGAGTGATATATCCCACTGAGCAGCCTACCACAAAGCCATTTCAGATGTACTCTGTACATAGAGGACAGTGCATATGAGACAAGGCATAAAGCCCTGCCAGGACAAAGGAGACTCAAATACTAAGTAGCTGCTCAGGTACTGTTATCCCTTCCAGGCACTTAACAGGACCAGTGCTACAGCAATTCCAGTCTTGTACAGCACCACACACATGCAAGGACTAAATAAAACTTGTAGTAGGCATTTCCGTCCTAGGGAACAAGACTTATTCTTACAGAAGTTGACACTTGTGTCATCTAAAAGGTCAGTGCAAGCTTCTGTACATAAAAGTTCAGTGTCTAGGCATGGTATCCCTTCAGCATGGTTCTCAAAGCATTACCACAGAGGATATTTCCAGCATTTGAGATTTGCCCAAAATATCAATTGCAGAAAACCACTTAAAATTCCAGACATGGGTTATCTTATCATTATTTCTACATGAGATATGAAGTGGCAACCCAGCACCTTACAGCAAGTATTTATTTCTGGGCTCTACACCTATCAGTATAAAGAACAATTCCTGGAATTGTTAAAATTGCCCACACAAGATATTGACTGTTCTAAGCAGCTATGCTCACTGTTAGATCAAGAGGAACCGGTAGGAACCTACATGCCAGACTTTTTTTCTTTTTTTTTTAAATGCAGTAAGGCTGCTCAAAAGTAGAAGGTAAACTAATTCGAGAGTCATTTAAATTGTGGCATATCTGCATATTTGCTGTAACTAGCTACACCAAAACATAAGAAGTTTGTACCAAAAGCTCTCTTGAATAATTTTAAAGGCTGTTATACTTTAAAGAGAGTATTAACCTCATCCAAGTAGAAAGTCAGCCAAATCTAAGAGTTCATACTCAGTAATTCTAAAAACCAGTACGAGCATAAACTAAGTAGTCAAAACCCAGAAACTTATGTTTGTGCACTCAGCTTTTTCACAGAAAGATGTATTTTTGTACCTCCATAATGATCACAGTCCCCACCATCATCGAATACATGTCATATTGTGCCACTTGTTTGCTTAGTGAAGAACTCAGAGTCTTCAGGGCCTCCAAGTATTGCTTCAGGACCTTTTTGCCAAAATTTAAGAGTATTTCTGAATTATTCCCCTCTAAATACAGTTTGATCCAGTTACCATGGGACTTTTCTGCTATCTTAAAATGTTCATATCCAGGATCTAAGGAGGGGGAGGAAAAAAAAGAAAAAAAGAGAAGAGTTAAGAGGATCCATGAACAAAAGAGGATTAATTAGAGATGTGATCATATTTTTATATTTGCTTGTATATTATAAAAAAAAAAACTGCTGTGTGGGTTGAAACTTTTTTCATAACTAGAAAGTTACAGTATCTTCCCGCAGCAAGTCCATAATGAGCCAGTTACTCAGAATAAAAGCAATTAATCCCTAACCTGACAAAATGTCAAGACCTCTAAAAGTGACAAAAGTATTAAAACATCCATTTACTCTTACAAAAGTTTTCCGGGACAAACTTATTCAAATGCTTTAAATCCTGAAAAAAGTCGTGTTTTTCACTGGAGCCACTCATTATCCAGACCATATTGTACAAGCCAAATGGGAAATGATCAAATAGCTGGTCTCTGGAGGAAACATCAAAGGACACACACAATATATTAGGGACCTCATTTTTTCTGCAAAGCTAATGAGAGTCAGCTGGTAACATGAAGTTAAACACACAGGACACAAGATTTCGAAGCAGTAATAGAAAAGTTAACAGCTGAAGTGCACAGTTTGGCTTCAGGCATTTGGACTATGAAGCTGGCACAAAGCAATCCTCAGCAGCGAAAGTTATATTCCGTTATAGTGTAAGGAGAGCACAGTCTAACTTGATTAAAAAAGAGAAAACCTGAGGCTGCCACCAACCTATGGAAGGAAGACTTTTGTGGCAGACGGTGATTTCATGATGGCCTATCTACATCTAAAAAAAATTCTGACCTGAAGAAAAATAAACGAAACCAAACAAATTAAGAAAAACTCAGGAAAAAAAAACAACCTCCAGGACACAGATCTGTTGTCTATACCTAGGTAGCATTTTCTTGTAGAAATGTAAATTTGATTAAGTCTTCTGAGAAATAAATGTGTAAATGGGACTGCACTGACAACACATACAAAGACTGTGGTCTGCTTTCAGAACTGGGGATGAGGACAAGACTATCACTAGACTCTGTCCCTAAAAGAAGTAATTTTAAATCAACTCCTTACATTTCATAAATAAGGAACCACTGAATTCTGTAAGTTCAGATTTTAATGTCAGTATGCTTTTTGATATAGGTACAGAGACATCACAGTTTCTTTTCTTTCTCTTAATACTGTAAAAACACATCTGCATTACTCTATTTCTCTAAATTTATCCTAAAAGCTTGATTGAGGACAACAGGAGACACAGGAAAGAAGTGAACAGCAAAATCCTACGTTTTGTAAGTCTTTCACAAGTACAGCAGCAGTAGCTTTTCTCCTACATGTATTTCCCTTCACTGATTAGTCCACAGATTCTTACTTTATACCAACTGTTCTGGCTGATACACACCAGAGAGACAATGATTCAAGTCAATTCAAAGGACACATGAAAGTACTCTACTTTTTCATTCTCCCATCAGCTACTGATTTTCTATCATCAATTTTCCCATTACTGATCATTTACACAAAAAGCTGCAGCACAAAAAGCTGAGTCTTGATAGCCTTTTTACTTCCTCAAAAGATGTTCAGCAGTGACAATAACCAGATTCTACAGACAGAAAACAGATGAGCATCATTTTGTTCACACATGAAAAAAGATATAAACACTCAGTACAAGCATAAAAGCAAAAAAAAATTAAAACAATTTCTGCCAAAATTATTATTCTGGGTCCTGTGTGCACCTGAAGAACATTCTATTAAATTCATGTAAGTTTAGTTTCAAGAGCATCTATTATTAGAACAATTAGGTCAGTTTCTGTGTTTTATTGTAAATGCGGAAAATGGTGTTGTTCTTGAAAGTGCTTGAGACATGTTTTCCCTCTTCATTTTATAGGTTCATCACCCCATACTCCAACATACCAACTAATATTTAAAATATTAATAATTGAGTATGGTATGCAATCACAACATATATTCAGTCAACAACATAAGGAAAGCAAGAGCATAATTTTCAGAAACTTGTATCTCACTGGACATCATGCTATGTGTGAACATTCACATATATCTGTATTTTTTGCAAGAAATAGATGTTTCGTTTCACTTCACATTAGTAATCCTTGCTATTTCCCTGTGATTTCACTTGAAAGTTAATGACAACTTAAGGGCAAAAAGGCCAATTTGGAAATTTTTGTATAATGACCCTATCATTACCTTCCCATCTTGCAATTCTTACCTTCTTAGCTAAAAGTAGGCCAAAACATTTGCTGTGCCATTTCCGACAACAAGGATTAAAGCAATGCCTGAAGTAAGTTTGGTGTCACAACGACTTAAGTTACAGCTTATTTTTACTCCTGGTAGATCAACTTGGAAAAAAACCCCAGCATGTTCGTTGTTAAGCCTTTTCAGCAAAACTACATTATTGAACTCAGAAACATTTTAAATTTTATTTCACGTGAAAGAAGATTAATGAAGTATTTCTATCCACAATTCTTGTACAGTTATGAAAGAACTGTGCTTACCATTTGTAAGTCTCTTATCACTACAAGACACTTTGTGATCTATTACAGGCTGAATTCAAAGTCAGAATTTACATAGCAATGTTTAACACAGAATGTCCAGTCTGGTTTCCAAAAACTTCTAACAGACTCCAAAGCATGCTGATCCTACTACGTAGAATATTACAGGTATATGCTAGAAAGTGCAGTTCAGCCAGCAGCAAACACTTGTAGATCAAAATTGCTGCCAGCGCACATGGAGACTTTAATTTCCCTACCATAATTCTTTGAACAGTGAATTCCAAAGAAAAGTTCCTCTTCCAGTATATTTGAAATCAGAGTTATATATTCATACTTTTGAGGAAACCCAGAAAGTCAGAAAGGATCATCTAAAATGAGCTTTAATCAAACTGAGATTTGACATGACAACTATTTCATTAAACAGAACATTGCAACAAGTTCAAGTTACATTTTGAAATCTAAAGAAATTATCTCCATGCCTGCTGCTGTTCCACTCCCTTTTCATGCTTTTTGCGCAGTCTCCCTCTTCATTCCTTTTAGCACTTTTATTTCACTCTCATCTACCTCTTTCCATGCTACTGCCCACCAAAGCCAATCTGTCCATGTTATGAAAGATGACTGTTCTAGTCAAACACACATTTATATTTTTGGTATGTATTAAGTTAATGATGTAAAGATACTGCAGAAAGGAATGAAGGACCACAGTTACCAAATTTCCTTTGAGAACCTCAAGAATATCTGTTCAATGGCACATTTGTATGCAGTAAGTACAAAATGAGAATGGTCATAGATTCTGGGTTGTTGGAGAAGCATTTTGGTAACTGGTGGGTAACATTTACAAGTCAGTGCTGCATGGGATATTCATAAGACAATTTAAACTTGAGGCAAAATCCAAAGCAAGCTTGCCCAGTTACACATCTCCCAGAGAACCGGAAATGGTTTACTTCCATAGCATTACATTAGCATTTTCTGCTTCAGCCTCCCTCCAGTGTCATCACAAGTAAATGGCTATGCTTCCCAAGCATCTGTTTGATAACAATTTCACCTAGTTCCAGTCACAGGCAGCAACCATTTAAAAAAAAAAAAAATTATAAACATAAGAAAAGAATGGATAATGTAAAAGTGACTTTCCAGTGTCAGTATATAAATTGCCCAGTAACAATCAAATTATTTCAATCAACATATGCATCTAATCCAAGTCCTGGATTAGTTCCAAATTAAAAAGCAGACAGTAATTTTAGTAACAACATCCAACCTGCTCTAAAGCATGACTCTTCATTCCACTGTGAAGTACCTCTCAAAAACAATCCTAGTTCATCATTCAGATGAACATTCAGAACGTGAGGGAAGCATTACTAGATACCTACAGCTGCCTACCTCACACTGAGGTATGAACTTGCTCAGAAACCCAAAGTGTGTTTCTAGATACTTCTCCTTTCAGCTTCTTCATTTTTGCCAGCTGTTTTTACTCTCCTTTTCCAGACTTTCTTTTAGCTGCATATGTCCAAATCTATTAAAAGAAAACCTAATGCCTCATGTTAGCATAGTAGGTTTCAAAAAGTCTTTTTCAAAATAACCAAGCCCTTAGTTGAGCTTCAAGTTTCTCATTTAAAATTTAATTTACCTGAAGATAGGTTTAATTCTGAAGATTCCTTTGTACCTCAATAAATCAAAACCCAAGTCACATGAAATGCTGTACCACCTCTTGGTTTGAAAATGTAAGTTTGTATGAATAAACATTGGGGGGAAAAATAAAAAAGTTACTGAGCTGCCTTCATTCTGCTCTTTATTAACAGATATACTTAAAACACACTTGAACATGAAGATATTTTTGTCTACTGTTCCCATTTTTTCTTAACACTGGAGTGGTTGAATCCAGGCAACTCCATGGTTTCTTCATGGAACAGCAAGTAAAGGTCATTCTGCCTTCCCATCTGACTGTGATTCACCTCAATTGACATCTAACTTCATCTTTTTGCATTAAAAAGGAAACAAATATTGCACCAAAACCAAATGTATACATTATCCTATGGCTTAAAATGGGTGAATCTTTTCTTACCATGACTTAGACATCATAGTCAAGGTACTAATAGCTGGTGTCCTATCTATGTGCTGCAAATTACAATACTCTCCACAGGAATTCCATGTTTTCCCCTTCAGAAGAGCCTACTCTTTTTGAGCTGAAGAGTTGAAATTAGTAATAATTTAAAGAAAAAAAACCAGCAAGGCTTAGGCTACCCACACAAGTATCTTTCACTTTAAACTGAAGCTCCAGTCACAGGTGTTTCTCTTAGCATTCAGCTGAAATGTTATGATCTTCCAGTTGTTCTTAGCCAAGAATCTGCATTGGAAAGCTTGAACCTGCAGCAGCAAATATGAGATGCCTAACTGGTTATCTTCTGAGGTTTCTTTCCCTCAAAAAAACCTGGCAGCACACCTTGTCTGTGGAATCAGAAATGTTATGGCCCAATACTTGTCAGCACAATTCTGATGAGTTTCCACAAATAAAAAACAAAGGCTCAGAGCAGGG